CTGCAGTAATAGCAATATAAAGGATTTTCTTATAACCTTGAAAACTGTCTCCAGCTAACTTGCAGTAGAAGTGAAGGTGGGAACTTTACATCTACCTTGAGGAAAGAACTTCAACCTTTTTTTTTTTTTTTTTTTTTAAATGCCATTAAGCCATTAAATTATAAGGCCATTTAAAAAAGTTGACCATATAAAAAGGTGCACATCTTCATCTACCTAAGCAAGAAGTAACAATATCCATCCCTCATGCATGCAATAAAACAAGGCAAATTTTTTTTAATAGTATTATTGCAGCCCTTTGTTTTATGTCAATTTTTAACATTATAGAAATGCTAAATTATGTATTTGCCTAAAAAAAGTTGAAAGTGACAACGTGGTTCATAGCAGGACTTTGGTCTCAAAGTCAGGAGGTCTGGGTTCTATCCCTGGCCTTGCAGTCCACTGTATGACACCAGCCAGGTCACTTCCACTTTCTGTGCTTCTCTTCCTCTCCTGCCTGATAACTGAGATTTTCTTTCACCGGGATGCTGGGGTCTAGGGCACAAAGGGAGCTGGATCTTGGGCACTATCCCAGCACTTACTGCAAAGCGATAGAAGGTATTGTAGTGATCGTAACGCTGCTGCGTGAGTCTTGGCTGACTTCTCATGCTTTTACAAAAAGTGTTGGATGTGCAGTTTTAGCAATGTGGTAATGTGGGATATTGATATGGGGTTAAAGAAACAAGTTTACCTTCTAATCTCCTTTAGCTGTGGAAAGTCCTGGAATGCTCCTGCCCTGTGTACCAGCACCTTGTTGTGATTTCGGGTGGGGGCATGTAGAAATACTAAAACCAATTTGGAATGTCTTGGGTATGAAGGAGTTGATGTTGTCTAGCTGTATTTAATTATGGCACCAGTTGCTTATTGATTAGCTGCTTGAGTCTTGGTTCTGCCTCTATTGCAGCCGAAATGTCTTGACTGCTTTGGGGAGATAATTCTGTGGCACAAGTATCAGATACTTCAGATTTTTTTCTCATTTGTGATCTGCATGAGCAGCATTCTGGGACTATTCTGCTAGCCCAAAAATATTTGGGGAGGAGTGGGAGGACAAATTAGTTTCATGTAGCTTGTCTTGTTTCTTCTGTTCTCTTCATGCTCTCTCCCACCCTCTCTTTAATGCATCTTTTAAATATACCCCTACTCCTTGGCTGCGTAGCTGCCACGGTGCCTGAGCAACGGACAGTGACGCTTGATGTGGATGTGAATAACCGCACTGACCGTTTGGAGTGGTGCAGTTGTTATTACCATGGCAATTTCTCCCTGAATGCTGCCTTTGAAATCAAGTTACACTGGATGGCAGTGACTGCAGCTGTTCTTTTTGAGATGGTAAGAGTCCTTGTGTTCTGGGTGGCCGCAAGCAATGCCTGTCTGGCCTCTGTATGCCTTATACCACTGGGGACGTTGTCACGTGAAGTCTTAGGAGAGAGGCAGTGGGTTGGATCTGCTCTTATTTCCATAAGTAATTGTACTGGTGGTAGCATTGCTGCATCTGGTCATCATTTATCATGCTATCTGTAGTCATTCTGTCTGCAGGATAGTGCTCTGCTTTTAGTGGGTTTCATGCACAGTATGCAGAGATCAGTGCAGGTCAAGGTGATAAATTTCAAGTCCCCCTCAGGCAAATCTTAAGCCCTGAGCTGGGTCTTTGGAGAAGGATCTATTTCACGTTGCATTCCTTCTATCCCCAAACCTGAAAATCTTAAATCTCTGTGGAATTGCTTTCATGACAGGGCTTTTCCAGCCAATGTGTTCTTCCTGTTCAGCAATGCTTTTTAGCTTTTTTCTTAACTTGCTGAAAACGTTTTGAATTGAAAATGCGAGTGGTTTGTGTCACTTTTTAATGTTTAGATTTTTTTTGTTTTCCCTTTTGTAGCTTCTGTAAAACTCAAATTATTTAATACCAGGTTTTACCCCACCCACCCAGATAGCACGAGGTGATTGGTTTTGCTTTTATTTAAAATCTATTGCACTGTTCCAGTAAAGCAGCAGTGCTCAGCCACTGACGATAAGTAGGCTGAATCAGTTCCTGAAAAATGTCCTGTTTTAAAGTGCTTTCTGATTGATGTGGCACTTAAAAAAGGAAAGCCTGATGTCTTGTGCTTGTACTGCTTTGCTTACAAGGATGCTTGTGTGATTACCATGCAAAGCAAGCTGAGCCTGTGGAGAACCGAGCATGTCTGGTCTGTTCTCGGGGAACGAGTTTCTCCTATGCACATAGGAGCCTTTCTTCACTGACATATGTCGTATGATTCATTGTTTGAATCTTTTCTCAGGTTCAGGGTTGGCATCGGAAAGCCACATCCTGTGGTTTCTTGCTAGTTCCAGTCTTGGAAGGCCCATTTGCGTTGCCCAGTTACTTGTACGGAGACCCACTTCGAGCTCAGTTGTTCATCCCACTCAACGTTAGCTGCTTGTTGAAGGAGGGTAGTGAGCATTTGTTTGATGGTAAGAAATGTTCTTTGCCTTACTTGGTGTACTTTTCTGGAAGCAGGTTCCTTCTGGCATGTAGCTGACATGAAGAACCTCATTTACCAGACGTGCATTAGCTGGTTGAAGGGCCTGTTTTACATTTCAACAGCCACCCTTAGGAAGGTGGTGCTTGGAGAAAGCTGTGCGGGCAGGCTAATCAGCATGCAACAGTGTATGAAGTTGGCAGCAAGAAGCACCAAGGCACAGGAAAGGTTGTCTCTCTGGTGGTCTTTGTTGCCATAATGTTGCATACCCTTATAGACCCTGTATCAAGCAGTTACGCTGACATGATGTTATACTGTAAGAGTCTGTTTTGCTGGTAGACCCTGCCCACAGTTGCTCTGCGTTTGTGCCCCGTGTTTGTTTATTCTCCCCCTCAGCAAGATTAGGCTTGCATGACTGCCATCCTCTTTTTTTTTTTCCACTGTCGTTCCCATGGTTACATTCATAGTAAGAGTGTTTGCACATGAGATTAAGAGCTAGAAACTGCAATCTCTTTTTCTGCAATCACCTTTTTGGGTGATGCTGTTACGGCAAGTCCCAGGTGGAAGCTCAAAGATCAGAGAACTCTGTCCCCATGCAGAGAGAGGCAAATTGCATCATGAGAAGGGCTCTGTTCTAAAATAGTAAAGATTATAGTTGTCTTTATTTTCATTAACCCAGTGTCTAGGTATAAATGTGAAACAAGCAGTGACAAATCCATATGCTGTGAGGTCACTGTAACCCCACTGACTTTGAACTAAATATTTTCAGAGCACTCTGTGGTATACACAGCAGCCCACTCTCTTTCCTTGCCCCCTCCCACACACCCCATTATGTTCCTCTCCTTTGTCTCGAGAGACACAAAGCTAAATTCAGGGATGAGTCTGCTACTGGAGCATACGAGACATGTATCTAATAAGATGGCATTCAAGGGACAGCTGACAGAAAAAAGTGTGACTAAAAGAAATGGCTAGAAAAAACAAAGTGCACAGAGGTCTTCTGAGGAAAACTTGAATCTTTAAAAAGGAGGAAATAAAGTGGCTTTACGTAGGTAATTGTTACCTTTTTGTTTGTTTCAGGCTTTGAACCAGAAACATACTGGGACCGTATGCATCTTCTCCAGGAAGCAATAGCATACAGGTATGTACAGAGCAGAATGACTGAGGTTCATATCTCCCTGGATAATGTAGGATGAAGACCTGTGCCGAACAGTCACTCCTGAGTTGCCTCTCTGAAGTCTGCTTACAGACTATTAGACTAAAACATGACTAGAATGCCTGGAGGTGGTTCTGTGGTTGCATGGGGCAGATAGATAGTGTTTCAGCTTGTCACTCAGCAAACCATACTCTCCTCCTAGGGAGGGTATTGGCTTTGGAAGGTGCCCTGTTATTCTAAGTTCGAAGCAGGTAAATTGTAAACAGATTTCTTCCTGAGAAGGGAGAGTTACTTCCTCCATGCGTACTTAACACAGTCTTGAACTGGATGACAACCAATGATTGACAATAGGTAAAAGACTGGGTTGCAAGTTGTACATAGGAGGTGGACCCAGTTTAAGAAGAAATTGTTGGAAACCTTGGATACTATCTAGCCTTACCCCATTGTCTGCTTGAGTTGCGAGTTCGTTTCTTGGTGTTGCTGCCAAAGTATTTTTCATGATAGAGCGACTGCCTTTTGTAATGGACTTTAGCTTGCAAATAAGCTTTCATTAGCTTAGAAGGCAGAAGGGGAACAAGTATTCTTCAAACAGCAAAGAACTGTCAGGTGAGCTGCTTGAAGTTCTGCATGGAATATTGCCCAGCATGAAAAAAAATGATCTTACAGCTTGAAACATGCCCAAGGAAATGTCTGTCTTGACTATCGCTCTTCCCTCATTCATGTGCAGCTGCCCCATTATGTCAGAGACTGCCCAGTGCCCTCCCAAACTGAGCTGCTGGTGTTCTTGTTTCCGGCATGAGTTAGGACAGAGATCAGCGTGGAGTTACAAGCTTTCACACCGTGCCTAGCAGGGGTGGAGAGTATTTGGAGCAGCTCAGCTCTCTTCATCCCTTTTCCCCTTGCCTTCAGGCAGCAAGAAAAGGGAGCTTTTGTGATAGTGGAAAGTTTTCCATGCCTTGGGCTGAATGAATCCTAGCTGGAGTGGTGCTTTTTTTTATTTTGTTTTGTTTTGGTTTTTGGTTTTTTGTTGTTTTTTTTTATTCCCCTGCTGTTTGTTTCTCCAGATTTGGATTTGTGCAAGATAAATACTCGGCCTCTGCATTCAACTTCCCAGCTGAGAACAAGCCCCAGTATATCCATGTCACAGGTGAGCAATATTTGTCAGGCACTGGGGCAAGGAGGAGGCTATTATGAACAAAAGAACCGTTTTACATGCAGTCTCAGTGATATTGGTCCTAATTATGTCCCCAGTCAGATGATAAGTAGCTGTATCAGCCAACACAGACCAGAAAACTGGAAAGGCAGTAGGAAAAGCACAAAGTGTTGCTGCTAATCAATGGCACTGGTTTGAAATCTTGCTGTATAGTGTCTTTGAAACTTTTCTTTCCAGGAGATGCAGAAATAAAACAAAGGCAGAGCTTATTCCAAGTACAGTGTAAATAAATGTGATCTGGAAGCTAGAAGAAGGGGAAGGTGTTGGGTCAAGTTAGTGCTCTGGTCTCATGCTTAAAGTCAGTTGTAGATGCATCTCTACCCACACACGCTGTGTAGGAGATGATAGATAAAGCATTTAGGATCCACTTGCTCTCATTATTCTTCATAAATGTTGATGATCTAACTAAGCTCCATGCATGATATATTACAGTAAAATAACTTTGTATGTTCAGAGGGGTTGCTGAGACATGAAGACAATGACAGGAAGAGAGCTTTTGGAAAATTGCAAAGAGAATGGAAATTGATGTAAAATTAGAAAGATGGATTAGAGCGTGCAGCTTTGGTTCATTCCCTTCTACCAAGAGAAAGGCAAGGCTAAGTGTGCACTCTCCTGGTGGTGTTATTTGCAGGAAGTAACATGTAAAAGCAAAGGAGGAAAAGCAGATCACATTTTATCTTGCTAAAAGGCAATTAAATGAAACTCAGTCCAGTTTCCTTTTCAGAATTTAATGAGTCAGCTACCAGTTGTAGGGACTTAGGTCTGCCTAAGGCTAAAGTCCTGTCTGTTTCCTCCAGGGACAGTGTTTTTGCAGCTACCATATTCCAAGCGGAAATTTTCTTGTGGGCAGCAGCGACGCCGGCGCAACTCCACTAGCTCCACCAACCAGAACATGTTTTGTGAAGAGCGCATTGGCTACAACTGGGCCTACAACACCATGCTGACAAAAACGTGGCGGTCCAGTGCCACCGGGGATGAGAAGTTTGCTGATCGGTTGTTGAAAGACTTTACAGACTTTTGCTGGAACAAAGACAGCCGGCTTGTTTTGTTCTGGACTGATTGCCTAGATAAGATGCATGCTAGTGCCCCATGAAATAGGGTTGTATCTCTTAGGGAGATGGCTAGAAGCTTTACCTTGTGGCAAGGAAGTAGAGGTGAAGGATGACTGGAAAAGAGCCTCTCTGATGGATTCATCTTGAAGCTCCAAGAGGACCTGATCAATGTTGCTGTTGATATTCAACAGAATTTGATTAAGCCCTTGGAAAATGAATCTGAGCTCTTGGCTTGCCAATATCTATCACCTGGCCTCAGCCTGGTTTCAGGTAGCTGCAGTCCTTCATTGCCAAAACTTCAGTTAGAGCAGAGGCAAAGGAGGGAGTGTTAGATTCTGTGCAGGGTGTGATGGTAGCAGCTTACTGTCATTGGAAGTGATTGGTGCCGTTTGCTGTAAGATAAAATGTGAGGCACCTGTTAAATTTCATACATGTAAATAAGTAAAAATGCAGAAAATCAAGTGACTTGATGTTTTGTTGTAACTCCAGACAGCAATACAGAATTGGGGAGTAAAATTGCCAAAAGGAAATACTGCTTCTTATGTCCAGCATGATGATGAAATTCTCAAAGTTTGGTGGTGGGGCTTTGTTGTTTAAGCATCCAAGACTTTCTGTCTCCAGCTCTGGATCTAGAACAGTGCCATGCAGCAGGAGCAAGAAGCAGTTACTGTCCTGCAAGGCCAGCATCCAAGCCTAAGGAGAAATCAAGGGCAACCGGACACAAGATGCTGCTGATTGGAGGAACAAGGAGGATTATGAGCAGATTTTTAGGATGTGTCTGCATGCAGCAAACCAAAGATGCCTAGGCTCGAGTATGTCTTTGTCTTTGTCTTTGCAGGGGAAGCTCGCGTATGGTGCACGGACTTTGCATGAGCTCGTTACTGAAGTGCAGATTTGGGGTGGGTTCGGGACCTGCACCCGGTAGTGCTGGGGGCGGGGGGGGGGCTGTTGACTCCTGCTGGGAGATCCTTACTATTGTTACCTGTTCTTGCTAAATGGAAGTCAGCAGAGGGCTGACACATCCACAGTGGCGTTCAGACCTAATTCAAGGAAAATCATAGCTGCTTCAGTTTTCTCCCTTAAACCGAGTCTGGATGACTCATCTGTTATTAGGCAGTACCCACCTGGAAGAGGTGGGTTTGGGCTGCGTGCCTCTTCATTCAGTTCATCTGAGCGTGTCGAAATTACCAGTGCGTGTCTGATCCCCATTAACGTCTTAAAAAATACTCTGTAGTATGAAAGCAACTTGCTGCCATCTATTCTACGCGATTTTACTATGGAAGTAGCAGTGCGTGCAGCAGTTGCTTTGTGAAAGCAATTTCGGGGGCGTGGGGGGTGTGGAGGTAGAGTGCGGGGGCAGCCCTGCAGCACCCCGCGTCTGCAAGGGCCTGGAGGCCAGCAGCGGCTCCGCCGCCGCGGCGGCGC